CTGGCAGTAGAAGCAGATGAAGTCTGAGCACCTTGGAGCTTACAAATAAAGGTGATCTGTAGCACACCGTTAAACAGCTAGAAGTGTTTCTCTAGGATGAGACTTGAGGGTCACAAAGCACCATAGAATTCAGCTACCTGAAAACAGGCCAAAGGATTTGAGTCAGGCTAGATATTTATGACAATTTTCTGCTCATCATCAACTCACAGAAACTAAAGAAACACAGGAAGGAAACCTCAGCTTGAATCATAAAAACAGCCCACAGTTTCTGAAAGAAGGGACCCCAAATGAGGTAACTCGTTTGTCTCTGTCTCATACCTTAAATAAGCCAAGACAGAGCAGATTTGGTAAATGCAACTCAACACACAAATCCAGAAAAAAAAGCTGAAGTTTTGTTTATATAGCAAGGTGAAGACAGATTCCAGATTGCTTATCCTCAATCTGGAAACCACACTAGTGCTGTGATCAAAATTATCTATTTTGCCTTTCAGTAAATCTTACTAGATTAAGCATATTCCCACACAAATACAGTTAAGTGACTTTCAGGACTCATACAAAGCCATTGTAGAGCATGGACAGAAAAATCATGCATGGTCTAGAAATATTCTGAGATATTCAGCCACTCATGGTTGTAAGGTTCGTCAGTGTAACCTCAGTAGGGCACAGAAAAGAAACTGGGTAGATAAAGAGTACATCAACATAAGAAGCAGAACATTTAAGGGTTTTTATGATGTTGGTATCTGCAGACATACAATCATGTCTTCCAGGGTAAGCTGGGAACAGCCTAGTCTGAAGGCACTCAGCTGGCCAGGGTCTTGCAGATAAAGAATCAGTGAGTAGATGAAGGAAGATATTCTGGATTTCACAAAGAATCTGAATAGAGAACAGGAGAGGATAAAGCCACCATAGAGGAAGCTGACTGCCATGAAATGCAACACTGCAAGAGAGGAAGAGATTCATTATCTTAAGTAACTAAAGTGAGAATTCTACTTCTAAAAGTAAAGGGGAACTGACAGGAATGCAAAAAATGAGAGAATCAGCTCTGTCAAGTTCCAGTACTTTCAAAGGGGAAAATGAACATAAAAAGGTTGTATATGGCTGTCGTGTAACTCAGTGTTTCTCCATTGTCTAAATCACACCTCTGCTGTCCCTCCCCAGTGTTGGGACTTTAGGACTGATATTATTGAAGAACTTAAAAAATATATTACAGGCTTTTTCCACACCCTCTCTAACTCATGCTCTGCACTTAGAAGCTGAGAAGATGACTTGCTGACGACCGAACAAAACATGAAGGCCCATAGGGAGGAAGCCCATATGCACACTTACGTGGCTATTGGGTCAAAACCAAGAGTTTTTTAACTATATTGCCTACAATATGAAAACATCCAAAACCTTCCAGCACTCATGTGGAGACAGCAATGTGGAACATGATCCCACCCAAAGCTGATTTTGAAAACTGGACCCTTAGAAGTTAGATAGGAATTTACACAGCTTTAAAGGAGAATGATTTAGGTTTCGTGAGTCAGGAAGTATATCTTACAAATTCCACCTGTTGAAAGATGCAGTCTAAAGAAATTATCATCTGCTTTTCAGTAGATAAACTGTCCTGGTTTTGTTGTATCAGGTATATATTAAGAAGTCATTTAGTCCAATGTGCTGGCTCACATATGTCTGACTTTGTAGTTCAAGGCATGAAATCAGCAGTAAACTAACCCTTCAAAAGTAGTCATTATTTCTCTTCCTATTTATTTCTCTGAAGTAGTTTATTGTAAGTCCAGAAGAGAAATGAGTCAGGAACACAGCATGCAGACCACTGGACTAGACCTGCTGTGGCTGTTACTATGGCTTAGTGTGGTGATTCAAGCTTAACTACTCATTAGGGTGTGGTGGTTCAAGCATGCCACTCAACCCTAACTTGCTGTCAAGGAAATGTATCCATGACTGCAAATCCTAGAGTCATAGAATGGTTTGGGTTGGAAAAGACTTTAAGATCAAATAGTTCCAACCCCACTGCCATGGGCAGGGGCGCCTGTGAGAGACTGACGTGAAATCAGACTCCACTGTCCATTGTCTCAAAGATTGGCATGAGAAGATGAAATGGGATTCCACTGACCACTGTCTCAGAGATAGGTGGGAGGAGTTGAGATAAGACTCCAATGTCTATTGCCTGGGAGAAGGGTGTGAGGAGCTGAACCTGGACTCCACCATCATTGCCTGAGAGATGGGTGGGAAGAGCTAAGACTCTTCCATCCATTATCTTGAGGATTGGTGTGAGGAAAATTGCTGTCCATTTTGCCAAGAATTGCTGCAGGCATGTGCAGTTGAAGAGCTGTCCACTAGACCAGGGAAACTGGCCCTCCAGGAACGTGTAATATGTGATGTTAAGAACAGAGGTACTCCCCCACCCCAGACTCAGTATAAAAGGGAGAAAAAAAACATCAGCATGAGCTCACCTTCAAAGGTACAACTCCAGGAGGACACTTGCACAAGGACACCCTCCACGAGGACACCCACCTCCGACGACTATTACAGACTCTTGGGGACACTCTGCTCTGATACCAACTACAGATCCTGAAGGACTCCCATCACCTCTGACAATGCCTACGGATCCCAGGGACACCGCTGGATCTACAGTGGTGACTATCTATCTGTCTCTGCACCCTGAATTCTTGCTTCATTTCTATCTTTTTTCTGATTTGTCCCATTGCTATCTCTTTCCTTTACAATAATTTCCTTTTTTATAATAATTGACTTTTTGTAATAAACCAACTGATTGATTACAGTACTTGATCTCATTTTTGTCTTAATTTCACTCTTGGGATCAGGAAGGAAATGGGTCTGACACTGGGGTTTTCTCCAGTCGGACCCTGACAACACCTCACACAAGACCATGTCACCTAAGGCTCTGTCCAACCTAGCCTTGAACACTGACAGGGATGGAGCATTTACCATTTCTTTGGGCAACTTCTTCCAGTGCCTCACCACCCTCACAGTAAAGAGCTTCTTCCTTACAGCTAACCTGAATAAAGACATCCAAAATACTGCAGCAGCAGCAGTCTGATTTCCCACACCAGACCCCTTGTTGGTGTAGCAAGTGAAAATAAGCCCCTAAATAAGAGGAGGAAAACTGCTTTATGTGGTGACTTTAAATGTTACTTTCAGGTTTGTGCAATGCACGAGACAGCACTGAAAGTCTTTTGAAGAGATTGCTACAAAGCATCTATCAGTGCTTTTGCTATATTTCAATGATATTCTGATATATGCTAGTATCTCAGAAGAACTGGTGCTCTGTGATAATACTACAAATGTACATATGAAATGAAAACCAAATAACTGTGGGTTATCTCAAAAGAGGGTGATTGGACTTTGCCCATAATAAGCAAGAGAGGAATTTTCTTCAAGAAAAGAATGAAGGCTCTACAGAATTAGCCAGGTCTATAGGCAATCACATAGGGGATTTTTGCATTTGGCTGTTATTACAGAACATTTACTTGTGCATCAGTCAATATTGGAAAACTGCTGCGTAGTTTGGGTGAGAAAAGAAAACATTTCAGTGGTCAGCAGATTGAAATGAATACTTTTAGAGTTGGGAAAGATTCTCAGACCTTCTTCTTTTGGGATTGACCTACCAATGTTTAAAACACCCTGTGGAAAACACAAACAAACAAACAAACCCCTTTATTTTTGCAGCTGTGATGTCACAAGGACAGTAGTGTTGGGTAGCTTAGTAATGCCAAACTAACTTCTCTAGAAAAGGCACTATGGCACCATGTGAGTGGAACTCCTTCTAGTGCATTAGATGTATAGAGTGGTCCAGTCACTATTTGAGAGAGCGGGAAGAGTTGGTCTCAGGTAGAGCAGGAATTTTGTATCTGAAGTAGTGTATTAGAAACAGGACTTTTAAAGATCAGCTTGAAAGTCAATCAGAAAAGCTAGAAGCGATTTTTCTCACTACCTAAATAAAATGAACAGACCTGAGCCAAAGTATGGAAATTCTATTAGGGATTATTTGCAAACATTGCCATAAGCAGGAATATCTTAATGGGAAGCATTTAGACTACATTGTCCATGATCCTTCAAAAGCAAGTACCCAAGCAGAATGAAATATGCTTGGAAAGTATCTGTGTCTCTCCAGTGGCCATCATGGAAACCTAAAGTACTGCCTTTGAATGAACACTTTACTTTCAGACAATTAGTTTAAGTGATAAGTCTGCTATAATCACTATTCAAGCTTTCATTTAAAACAGCACAAAAGTCATGAGGACCATGGCTGGTCATATTCTCTTTGATATTTCCAGCACTGCAGCCAGCAAGAGAAGATGGACTGCAAGATATTCAGCATCAGTGCAGCTGAAACAGGATCTTATCATTGAAAGCATTCAGCTTCAGTACAGCTGTTGCTGCTTCAGGACCTCATACAAGCTTGCCATCGGAGGTGGTGTTTTTTCTTAACTATACTTAGGTTTTCAGATCCTGCCACACCGCTATCATTTTATTTCATTGTTAATCTGACGACATACTCAAAAGTTGATCTTAAGACTTCGCTTCACAAAAAAAAGCACACTGTACAAATCAACCTTTCCTGCAGAAAAGACTTTTCCACTTGAGGAAAGTGAAGAGAGTAATGTTATGATGCTCTCTCAGTTGAATGGCTGAATGTCTTGTTTCTGGATGCAGTCTGGAGGGTAATGAAGGAAAAGCAGATGTCTGAATAGATCAGTGCTTCTACCTGACAGCCAAAGCAAGTAAGTAAATGCTTCAGGAAGTGTGCCTTGCCACCTCTGCTTTTGGAGCTGTAGCACTGCTGGAATAAGAATGTATCCAACAGATGTGTAGTCTACACAACGAAGCTTTGATATCAGAGGAGTCAAGCAGGATTCGTTCTCTTCAGGTCACCTCAAAAACCTTGTGTTTCAACACAACACATATGTCTCTTACACCATATTTGTCTCCTATAAATTGCTCTTTGAAAATCTTGGAACAAAAAAACCACACTCAGATGGAAAGTATTTCTTTATTGATCAGCTTCTTGTTCCAGACCCTCACTCCCCACCCATATTCTTGATCCCATATGAGCAATTCCACATGGTTTCAGGATTTGTTAATAATCATCTTTTAGTTGACTTTCTTCCTTTCTTTGTTGCACAACAGGAAGTAAGGATGTTTGAAGGGAGTATTTAGGGAAATAAAGGCCAAACGTGATAATCAGTACAGCGTGTAATATTATTTTGAATAATTGAGTATAAATACTGATATAATGGAAAAAAAATACTTCAATTATTTCAACTAAACTGTTTCCTTCTAGGCTGGATTTCCACATGACAGTTTTAAATAGCTATCAAACCAAAGACATGTACCTCCTCAGACAAATAAGAAAGTTATCTCCAAGTCAAATACAAATGCAAACACAGAAAGCAGTTGTTAGATATATTTAAGGAATATGGTCTGTCATGGTGAATTCATCAGAATGGCATCAGAAAACAAAGGAAACTGCAAAGAATGATAATGTAAAGAAGCTGAGAAGACTTCCTCCGTTCTTAATTTCTCAGACACTTTTTCTTATGGTTTAAAAACAAAAGTTACAAATAAGAAAATCTGAAATACTTGTTCTATAGGTACACAGGGTACTATGACAATACTCATTTATAGAATATTGTATGTATAATATTAATTTAGAAGAAAATGTGAACCTGATTAAGTGATCTAAGACATTTTTTGGTTTTAAATATTAGGAAATAAGGAATGATAATTCGTGTTCTTTTGGACATGTTAGAATAAGTCTAACTTGCTATATGCTTCCCTCACAACAATAATCTCACAGTAATTAGTAGAAACTACCAACATGAGAGATGACCATTTAGACAAGATTTGCAAGTTACACCAAAATACAACCTGATGTCGAGAATATACTAAGGACCTTCAAAATGTGTTGTTAAATTCAATGCAAGGAATGCACACTCTTCATTCTAGGGAAAAACAGAGGAGGAAAGAACATTGGCTTTTTTTTTCTCTTAAGTGTGAGTGAGTTCATTGCATTCATACATTGCTGGACTTAAATAATACATGTAACCATTTGTTTACAGCTTGTTGACTTGCCTGTCGCAGTCCAAACAGCACTCATATGAACAAATTAACAAATCCAAGACACTTTATTCTGAATGGTATCTCCTGACAAGGGAAAAGCCAAAGACTGCCTCCAAGCAAAGATGGTAGCACTTTGTCAACCTCATGACTTGTATTAACTTCTGCAAAGCTGCATCTTTTTCCCTCCTTTGAACAAGGAATTTTCAGAGCATCTCTACTCTCTTTGGAGTTCTAGGTTACTCCCACTATTCAAGGTTTTCTCCAAAAGGGTATCCTAAAAATATTAAAGACCTCAGGGTCTATCAAATCATACACCCATGGACTGCATTAATTATTGATTTTTTTACAATCTGGGAATAGGTGCTTTTCAAAGGGCTGTGGGAGTGAAAAGAAACACTGGAATAGCTGAGCAGACATGTCTAATGCGTGAAAGCACAGAGGGAACTAATCTGCCTGCAAATGTCAAAGAGAAAGCAGGGGGCAGGTGCTAGTAATATGAATCTCTGTCCTGGTTTCAGCTGGGATAGAGTTAATTTTCTCCCTAGTGGCTGGTGCGGTGCTGTATTTTCGACTTTATTCTGAGAATAACGCTGATAACACACTGATGTTTTAGTTGTTGCTCAGTAGCACTTACCCTGATCTAGGGCTTTCAATCTCTCACACTCCGCCAGTGAGGAGGGGCACAAGAAGCCGGGACAGAGCAGAGACAGGACATGTGACTCAAAGTAGCAAAAGGGGTGTTCCATACCACAGCACGTCATGACCAATATAGAAACTGGGCAGAGTTGGCTGGGATGGACCAATTGCTGCTTAGGAAAAGGCTGGCATCAGTCAGTGGGTTGTGAGCAGTTGTATTGTGCATCACTTGGATTTTTTCTATTTTCTTTGGATTTTATTCCTCTCTCATACAGACTCCTTTTCTTCATTATTATTATGATTATTATATTTTTCTGTATTTCAAATATTAAACTGTTCTTATCTCAACCCACAGGTTTTATCTTTTTCTGATCCTCCTCCCCATCCCACCAGGGAGAAGAGGAGAGCAGCAAGTGAGCAACTGCATGGTACTTGCTGCTGGGGTTAAACCATGACAATGTCATGCTCAGCAAATCTGAGATTGTTCCAGGGCTCTTGAAGGTTGTCTTCTTAATTTGTAAACTTCTTACTTCTACTGGCTGTTTGTCTCCTTTTGCCCTCTCTCTTTGGCAGCAAGGCAGCTGCCTCTGATGCCAGACTGCACTGTGGCGCAATAGAAAAGAGAGCAAGAAGAGAAAGACCACAGGAGCAAGAGATGTTTTCAGTGAGGACAAGGAAAGGGGAGAGATGATAGCACAAAATTAACTCAGATGAAGTTTGCTAGTACAAAATTCTCTCAGACATCACTTCTGTTCTTTAAAGAGGCCAGTGGTATGTTTTCAGGATTAACAACTCAAACAACTCACAAAGGTGTTTTAAAATATACATTGGATGGATACCTGTGTGCCATAGCCTTTGCTGGGTTTCCATCACTATATGTCTGACCACGGAAACCTGAAGAAACAAGTTCAAATGTCAGTTGGCATTTTGGTTTCATTAAGATTCACATATTTATTCTCACATTAACTGTTTTGGATTATTGTTCCATTCAGAATAGATAAGTTTATTTTTTAATGCGTGAAATCATGTCTCAAAATGTTTGGCTACATTAAATGGAATCCAGAAAAATGGCCAAAGGAAAATAAAACTTAAAAAGAATACAAAGTTGTGCCTCTAAGCCAATGCTATTTAAAACAAAATAAATAAATTAAATATGTATTTTCCCATTTCCATCCTCTGTAAAGCAAGTAACATCAAGCCATTCTAATTCAAAAGCACAACTACTGGTAGAAAAATGCAATGGAATTCAGTATAATGCATACTAAGTGTCAGAAAACTCTTGCAGCTGGAAAGAAAGCAGCCTTCGTGATGGTTAAGTATGCTGATCTTTATATAATAGATACTGTTGTTACTGGAATCTTGGGTTTGAGTAACAAAATATGTGTTAATAACACCATGATGCTGCTTGGTATTTTTAACAGTGACATATTTTCACTATGCCATTATAAGATTATCTCTCATTTATTTTGACATTTTGTATAATCCAAATTGTCACAAATTATGGACTAATCTTGGGTTTAATATTCCCTTCAAATTTACGTGGATTGTTTTTCTTAACATCTTAGGTTCAAACACAACAGCATCCCAGGGTAAGAATTATCACCCTTGGGGACATCATCTTCAAGAAAGTTTCATCATCTTCTGATTTGAAAAAGCTAGAGCTTGAGAAAATATCTTTGTCATAGGAAATAAACATTTAAGTATGCAAAAGTCCTTAGTAGCAATGCTATTACTGTTACATTAGAAATCTTACACAATTACAGCAGTGAGTTAGACCCACCTAGGTTTGTCCCATCTCTGACACTAGTTTGTACCAATCTGCCTCAGAGGAAGGTTTTGGGAACCCTCTCCTGCTCAGCCAACAGAGATGGACTACCTTTTCCCAAAAATGTAAAGCATGGCATAATTCATATCTTCTATACAACAAACACTGATCACATATTCTGATATTCTTGATACAAAGTTTCTCATCATTTTTCTGTATCCCTACAAATTCTTAATCAGAACAAAACCTGTGACAAAAAATTCCACAATTAAAGAAAATACTGTGACCCGAAAGTTCTTTAGTCAGTTTTCAGTATTCCGACATTTTCATTTAATACACAGACCCATTCTCTCCTACCGTAAGATAGAAGGGCATTCTCAGACTGCCGTCTCTGAACCCTTTCTGTATTTTACATGTCTTTGTCATACCATTCAATTTGTTAAAAGGAAAATATGAACAAGGAAAATGCATCCAGATTACATGAATCACAACACACTGATTATTTAGTTGATTCACCTTGAGCGGGCTTGTCGCAAGTTTTTAAGTGGAGAAGAAACCAGAACTTGCATTATGCAAGTGCTTGCACAGAGAGCTACACTTCCAATTCAAGACTGCAAATTCAAGCACCCTCCTTTTTAGTGTCAGGCTTCCAAATCTGAAGCTATTGTTAACTGGCAGGTATTTCTAGACAACAAAGAACATCTGTCATAGGAATCACTATGTTTACAATGAACTGGGAAGGGAAGTTTGGGTGGGGGGGGTTGAGGCAATTTGGCAATGCTCAGATTGAGTCTTCTCTCAGCTTAAGTCCTTTTAGACCTTTTGGTTTTAAACTAGTCAATCCACTCCTCCTCACCATAAACCCCACAGCCATAGTTCACCCTGAACTCACTAACTTCTACACTTCCAGGGCTTTACTTCCAGGGTTTGGAGATTTTGATTCCATGAGCTCAAATCATAACAATATCCTCACTGTACTTCTGTAATACGCGAAGTACTACTGTCCCATTTGCAGAGGTGAAGAATGAACAGTAGGGCTCTGCTGGAATCACTACAATGACAGCATTGTGTGCCTGCTTGCCAAGGATTGTTTTTAACTAATTACCTCATGTACCGACAGCAAGGTAAATAGAGATGTGGCATGCAGAATTTGGCGTGTGATGGAAAATTCACCCAGGAAGCAGAGAAAACAGCCAGCCACACAAGTTGTCCTTGCCCTAGCTAATTAAATGCTAGTTGAGGTATGAGTCCATTATCTATGAGGAAAGCTGAGCATATCCAGCTCACATGCAGACTTCTGCGTTCAGTCAGGTGAATCACACTTTGATTTCCCAATGAAAATGCACTTCACGTAGAGTGCTCTCTTCTATACAGTTGAGACCTAATTTTTCTTTTGTTATCATTCATACTTACCGCAGTGGATATCACAGATCTGCAGTGGAACTGAATAATCTACATCTGTCCTCCAGCCCTTTTAAAAGAAAGAATTGAGGCTTATTCCCCTTTCAGCAGCACTGCTACTAAACACTTGTGTTGACAAAATGAGGTTGCTTTATTAGTTTACACAAATGACTACATTTTTTAATTTGTTTTTAAATATATGCATATGGAGATTGATGGTCTGTTGTATATTTAGTGAGTTTCAATCACTTTTAGGTTTCTAATGATAAAGCTAATCAGATTTTTTTTCTTGGGTGGGGGCTTTATTGTGACAGATAATGTCTTATTTACAAAATAAACTATTTATATAAGTAAACACCAGTTTTACCACCAGATCTGATTTTCACTAGGGAAAGAAGAACTGTCATTACCCAGAAGGCTGTTGTCAGTCTCACTTTCACCTTTCCCTTTCTTCCTAGCACTGGAAAGCGAAGCTGACAACAGCTTGTCCTGGTGTCTGTTGAGAACACTAACTCCAGAGACAAGTAAACCTACCAGCTTCATGCTCATTTTCTATTAATGTTGTCCTAATAAAGTTCAGCTACAGAAACAATGTGCAAAAATGTCAAAAATCATTTGCTCAGCTCTGCTTTCAGGAGCACTAATTCTAGCCTGCTATGATGCACTTACCGTGCTGTTTGCTATATGTCTAACTTTCTTCAGCTAATGCCAATCATCTTTGAAAAACTCATCTAGGATTTACTTGGATCTTTCGATACCTTGGAACTTTTTATTACAAAGGAATGTATAAAGACAGGATTAGCAATTTCCTGTTGGTATCCCTTTATATGCCACTGACAAAGTAGCAAGATCATGGAGAGCAACTTCTTTGTTAATTAAAGTCATCTCAACAAGAGGTGGTGGCAGCACATCAAGCTATAAATAATGCTCTTTGCCAGCTCTGTTTTCACAGTACTCAGATTTGGCTGGGAAGGGAAAGCAGTGAGAGTGCCTGCTGGGTTTCCTTTTTTTGATGCTTTACTTTGTAGAGAGTACCAGGCAAAATCAGGACACATACCTGAATGCAAAACGCTGACCCACACATTTCCTGTGACATAGCAATTGATACAGAATCTCCCTAATGAAAATAAAAGAATTGAAAATTATTATTTTCCATACCCTGGAACAATGGAAATATATTGTGTCTCTCCAGCATTTTGGTTTGTTTGCCAGTAATACTACACGTTCTATCCTGTCAGAAAATTAATAAAGTACATATTCACTCTGGAAGGTCATTTATTTTCAGAGATATCCTCGGATCTCAATGACCGTAAGTAGTGGTGTAGTTTTGCCAAGCACAATTTGGGCAGCACAGGAAGAGGGCTAATGTTCCCCCATTTTATGAAGCACCAAAAGTCGGGACATCCTCCCTGCCATATCTGCTCACACCATGTTAGCCAATGACCATCTTAATTTCATTTCCCTGGTGTACATGAGTTGAAGGAATGACTCTTTCTTTACAGTTCTTCTGGACTTCCTACCACATTGTATGCTAAGAATAAGTTCAGCCTTGGGGTAAAACTGTCCTATGTGACTGTCCTGAAACTTAATGTTTGATTGTTTCTGGTTTGTCCTCAAAATAATGCTGGTGTACTCCACTAATAACTATGAATCCTACACTGCTCTTTTTAGCGTGGCAAACTCCAAAAATAACTGGGGGCAAATTAGATGAATATGTTCTTTTTTCAAGCACAAATTCACAGGGATTGTGCAGAATGAATCTTGGTTTCTCGCAGCAGAGAGCTAAGTCTTGATGAAAACTTTGTGTACATTGCTCATGGCGTTGTGACAGAAAATGTATGTAATTTATTGGGCTTCCATTCTGCTACAATAGCTGAGGATATAACAGCTTGTAAAAGAGGGAAGAAAACAGCATTTTTAAATGCGTCAGTCCCCTTCACAAAACGCACACTTCAAAACCTAGCTGTGACTTACTGGTACCCCGTCTCACTTAACAATTCACGAAGGAAACCTTTAGGTCACTAGGACAGGCTCTTCATAGCACCACAATGCCCTCTGTGGTCTGTTGATCTGGAGAGCTGTTTCTTCCTGGGCTTTTCTCCATGATTATTCAGCTCTAGGATCACCTGCAGGAGCAGTTCTATTGTTCCACTAAAGTATGTTCTCGGCTTGAGCAGCAAAACTGAGTTAGGAAACTTTGCTTTTAACAGCTGCTTTGTTGCATTCAGCACCAGAGGTGTAAGAGCTAAACTGATTCATTAGAAAATTAATTCAGCTGTCAGTGCCCACCCTTTTCAGTTTAAGAAACCCTTACGCATAAAGGCCTGCTTCGTATATACCCCCTGGTATGTACACCCTGCACAGTGAAAGCATCAGAGGTACTTCAAAAAGTCACAGCTGCAGCATATACCTGCATACAGTGGCAAGAAAGAAGTACAGCTGGTAAGTATCCTAAAAAGGAGAGGTATAGGAGCTACAACATACTTCTCTCTTCAAAAGCACATCCCTCTACAGCAGAGTGAAGTCAATGCACACAGTCAGGAATAACAGTGGAAATCACAATATCTGGTTTTCTCAGCTTTCTCAAAGTCCATCATACGACATCTCATATACCTGGTCAGGGGAGCGGACAGCAGGAGCACACATTTGGGGGTGGACATAACACTACCAAGGAGCTGGCTCCTGAACCAGCTGGATACCTTTCAGCATGGTGGTCCTAGTAGCTCCTAGGACTTATCCTGCTAATATTTCTCCTATTTGAAAAATAATGCTATGGCCATTCTTCTGCTCCTTGACCCCACATTCCAGATGTACCTCTTGCTAGATCACAGATCAGTCCAACAGGGTAACTCTGGCAGGCTGTGCTGAAGGGCAAGGGCAGGACAACTTGCTGCACTGAAAATGCATGATACAGGCTTAGCTGCAAGACAGGAATCACTAGCTGTGCCTGAAACAGAAATCACCCACCCATAATCTCTTCCTTCTCTCCCCCAGCTTTGCTGGAAGAAGCAGTTGTGTACTCACACAGCCTGCTGGCTCAAAAAGCTAATTTGGCTGAAAACTTACCTTTTTTGAGTGTTGAGATTGCTTTGGCAGCTGTGGAAGTCAGAGTAGCTCAAGATCATCATGGATTTATGCCTCAAGTCTTACATTTCATGATGTGAATTTTGCCAGGTCAGATGTACCAGTGATCCATATATGAAACACTAACACTAACTTTTGCTATATACATAATACAAATAATACACCACAAAATGATGTTAAAAGAATATTAAGTTTCCGCTCAATAGTCACTTCCTTTGATGTGATCCATTTGACTTCAGGATCTTTATTTATTTCTTGCTTCAGTGTGAGATCAGAATTAGAACTACAACTTTAAAAAAGTTCCAGTAATTGTTCCAATATGTACATGGGTTTATTAATGCTTTCAAGCTGCAGAGCAATAAACAGAATAATAAATAAATGAATGCAGTTAGATCTGTCAAAAAGTCTTAGAGTGTTTAAGAAATAATATATACAAACCACAGAGACTGAATGGTGCATCCCAAGAGATTCACATGAGGCCAGCTGCGTCCTGTTACACACAAGTACTGAGAATTGTGCCTTGGTTTGGGATGTGAAGAAAACTTGTATTTGTTCTGCAACTGCAGCAGTTCTCATTTTCCAAGCTGATATTAGGGGAAAAGACTTACTTTTAGATGTACAAGGACATATATTCTAAGTTGTTATATCTAAAATAAAAGCCTTTTTAGTTTGTTAAGTGCCATCAAGTGATATGCGAGTAATTTTTTTTGATTCCCACAAGTTACTTTTTATACTGATAAACACTTGATCTACTGGGGTTACATAGAAATAACAAGCTATCAAATCTCTTTGCCATAATTTATAAGCTACAGTGTTGTGAACACATCTCATTTGCTTACTAGAGAAGGCTCATAAAGAGTGACTGATTTAAATATTTTTCACAATTTAATATTATGTAATTAAAAAGTCTGTATTTACCTGGAAATTCTCCATGAGCAAATGGACATTTAACCCAAGAGCCTTGTTTGGTTGTAAACTGAAAGCAGAGAAATCTGTTAGGAAAACTAAATTTTCAGTTTCAGCCTGTGGCTACAGATTCATTCATACAGATCAGTGTATTCCAGAAAGTTGGAGAAAGTGAATTCACAGCTTTTCTTCCGACCCTTGATTTAAATTAGGTCCCCCCAGTACTTCAGGTATTTATACACATGCTTATTTTACAGAAACATGTAGTTGCATTGACTTAAAAGTAATCTAAAAGAAAGCAATAATATACCTATATTAACCTTATGTGGCATCTTTTTCTCAACTAGAATAATAAAAGACACTCCATTAAATGTAGTGTGTCAATCATTTTTATTAACAAGTACCTAATATGGAAAACCTGTTAACATTAAGTGTAGTGTATACTTCAGAGTTTGCATTGACCTAAAACATTTTTTCCCTGCTTTTCTTAAGCAGAGAAAACAGAGCACACAATCTGACCTGTCCCCTATGTATTATTGCTGGTGCACTTCCAAAGAACCTCCTTTTAGTCCAATCTTTCACATTTCCTTCATTCTTACTTCCCATTCAGCAGAGCTATGAAAGAAAATATGGATCCTAAAGAATATTAGCAACTCATTTTTTTAGAGCTGACGGGAAGAGGGCAGGTAATAGGTGGTTTACAAAGAAATCCCTTTACCTTCATGCAAAGCCTTGGGTGAGTGTCCACACGAGAATATTTAACCTGCTTGAAAAGAGAGCAGTCGGCATTAGCTGGTTTCATTAACTAGCTTCACAAAAACAATTGCCCAAAATATTCATGGTTTGATTACTGAGACAGGAACTGGTTCGTTTCCTCTATAAACATCCCAGGAAATTAAGCACATAAAACAGTAAGAATAGAAACAATCATTACTTTGGAGTAACAATTTACTTCTTTTTATCTGTAACATGTAACATTTTATGCAGTCAGTCTGACCCATTAGAGCTCAATGAATTGATTCTGTGGTGGTGCCTGTGCAAAATTCTGATTACACAGCCTTGTTTCGGTCCCTTATTTACCACTCATCAACAACTCAGCGGAACATTGAGACATACACCCTCAAGTGCCGTTCCACATTCAGTTCAGAAATATTTAAATTTTTTGTACCCCTATTCCAGAAAAGCATTAAAAGTAATCTGAATTTTAGACATCCATTTAAAGTGACCTACAAAATGTGTTTTCCTAACAACTGTTTACCCACCAAGGGCTTCACCATAAAAAGCCTTGTATCCTATGAACAATTATTACCCATGCAAGTGATCTTTCTTAATAAACACTGTTGCTCAAGTGAGTGAGCACAACACATAGCATTGTGACCATACACCTCTTTCCTGTAACTTTTTGATAAGAACATAATGTATATCCTCATGTATACCTACAAGATGGTCACAGAAGATAGTTCTGTAAGAGTTCACTCAGATATGGAGACAGCATTGCCATCAACAGAGAAAGCCCTATCCTAATTTGAAGAGTTATGTAGCTTTTGGGCCTAAGTCAGTACATGGACATAGTATTAGAGGATGGAGCATTGTGTAGATTTACTGGGGGAGCTAGCACTACCTGAGTAACCTCTGCAGCCATCTCCAGCACACTACAGAGAAGTTTTTCAGGGTTACTGCACAATAAATGAACCAAATTCAATATCAAAACTTTCAGAATTAATTAGAGGAAAAAGGAAATTCATTCTGTCCATGAATTAATATTCAGCCAGTAAAAGCAATGAGTAAATACCCTCCTTGTCTGTAATAAACTAACACTGGATTGTGTTCCGGGTAATGGAGATGAGCACTGCCAGCCAAACCTCATTTTAGGCTTTTTTATTTTTCTCCTCTTCAAGCAAAGAGTTGTGCTTGTTGTCAGCAGATGACAAATCCCACAGGGGCCACTCACATGTGTAAAATTAAATATAATTGCCTTTGCAAGATCAAAGTTTTGTTGAAAGCCATAAAATGGTGAATCTGAAGAATCACTAAACACTTGGCCAGGAGCTCCTAATCAAAAAGCATTCAACAGGCTTGAGTCAGTCCCCCCAGATCATGTCATCAGAATAATGCTTATAAAGTTTCAAAAAATTAAGAATTTTTATTGGATTTTATTTGCCTTTTGAGTTGTTACCTCAAATTTCCTGGCTCATCTCCACAAAGAGAGCAAAGCCTGAAACCTACTTTTCAAGACAAAAGCTAGAATTCTAACCAACCTACTTAATAAATCCATAAATCAGCATCATGAGACTTCAGATTGAAGTATGAAGCACTGAAAGATACATGTCGTAAAAACCCTTTTCAATTTTAGAACATAAGCGCTGGAAGAACTCAGGGACCCAGAATTTCAACATGCCCAATTTTGAGACATCAGACCAGGCTGAGGAAGACACTTCAAAGAGATCTTAATAGGGTACAAAGCAATTCTGCCTTACCAAAGCACTGTCATGTCTCCAGTAATATTTAATGATGTTTAGTCTTATGTCACTTACAGTTTAGGCGTCTAAATGTTAAATATCCAAATCTGACCCAATAATAATAGACTCAGTTAAAAGAAAGAGGTACCTTCAGAGGGAAATCCCTCCTATCTTTCTTTTATGCCTATTTTCAAATGAAAAGAATTGTTCTCTCAGTATGTCTTTCACTCACTTTAAAGGGCATCTGACATGAATAGCATAGACTTGAACACCTATCTTTTAAAAATGTCAGGGCAGATGAATCATGCCTTTACTATAAATGAAAAGCAGACCCAATTTACCCCAAAGAACTTAGCAAACATTAGTAGCTTCACAGTCATCTCCACTTTTTATTTCTTAGTAGTGAGTCAGTGAGCATTTTGAATAAATCATTTGGTTAGTGTACAAGAACAGACTGTGTTTATGAATAGTTTTAAGTCTCAGAGAAGAAGAGAGGAATTTGCAACTGCTTTTTTTTCCAAAGTCCAGCTCTTCACATTATGCCTTTGGTAGTGGCTTTCAATCTCACAGTTTGAATAAATCTGCACAGCTCTTACTTTCTCAGGAGAACTTCTGGAAGAGTTTTGTATGTCTTCACAGTAGTCATTAGACTTCATTAACCTGCATAGGTTAACAATGACAAGCACAGGACAGGCTGGCTCCCAAGCTAGGGTTTGTGTCACTGGGTTATAAACAATATTATCCCATAGTGCCTTCGTATCTGTGCACAAAGAGTGGAAATGTTATTAAAGATGTCAAAGATGAAACAGAATTGTTCATAAACCTGGTACCTATGCATGTGCTTAAAACCAAAACCGTTGCTTTTCCATTTCCTTGGTATTTTCACCCATCAAAACTGCAGTGTTGTCCTTCCTGTGGCAACGCAAAGGTTTGTAACCTATGCTTCAGCTATCCCTGTAGTAGGCATCAGAGAATGACTGCAGTTGGAGGGGAAGGAAAAGACGCAGAATAAAGAAGGAAGAAAAGAATCATGGGATCCATGATCCAGATTTCCTGCGCTTGCAAATCATAACTATTCCAAGCGCAGGAAATAGGTAAAACTGGAAAAAAACAACCTGTGCCCCATGAGACCCATTCTCAGGCTGAACAGCTACTAAGAATAGAAGTTAGAACTTCATACTGCAGATGGCCAATACGCTTTGCTTTGATGACCTTTAAGCCAGATCTGACTACATGGCATATACACAGCTACAGACAGAGCTTGAGCACTCCTGTATGTGCTCTCTATTGCATAAATAGAGAAAATTTATTTATTCAAACTGCACTCCATTGCTATAAAGGAATGGTATTGTCATAAACTCAATACTCTTCCACAATAAAATAAATTGGGAATGAAGACTGGGCTCAATAAAAAGGAAAATCTCTCCCTGAAGTCCTCTTCTCATAGCAGTATTGCAAAGCTGACCTCAGTGGCTTTTCCTTCTTCTTGCCAGTTTGTGTGTGATTTAGAAAATGTGGGAAATTACTGGAAAGTTACTTAGTGTTTATATTGGCATAAACTTGGTGAACAATTTGGTCTGAGAGTAAGTTCTTTAGTCTACCCACAGTGAAACAAAACAATATGATGATTTCCTTGAAGTTTTGCAATGTATGGTTTTAAGTGAATTTCAAATTGTGACATGCCACTGGAGCTACTCATATAAAAAGTAATCACATAGTACTTGCCATTTTCAAAAGGGCAAAGTTGTATCCTCCTTGCATCTGGAATTGCCAGCCAGCCCTACAACCCAAAAAGTGGTCATTAGCTAGAGGTTCTCAGATACAACAGGTTTTAACCTTTTAGTCAGAATGAGACACAAAACCTTTCCGCCAAAGATAAAGATGTCGTGTTTATTAGAAAGATTTGGAAGTATTTTTTTAAAAGAAACTTTTGCACTAGATATCTATTTTATTGTTTGTTGTTACGGGAATTGGAGCTGATGAACCACGGGGATCCCTTCTAACACTATATTGTTACTATTTCTGAGTCATATATTTAGGCGAATTTCCTGTAGAAAGTCTTCCAGTTTGATTTTCATTAAGTTTCTTACAGTGTCATTACTTTCCAGGGGTAATAAAAGACATTCAAGAATCTCAGTATCAGACCTTCTGGCCTTTGTAGTGGTAAAAGATGTATCCTTAAAATATGAGGACTAAAGCTTAACCCAATCTGCAAGTATATGTGCATGGCTATTATTATAACCTAATTATTTAGATTAATGTGCAGATGTTCCTATTACTCACAGTTCCCATCTGTTTGCTCAGCAATCGTATTGTGGAATTCTCTGCATATACCCTGAGAGGAATAACATCTTTCCGGTGACCTCATACCTTTCAGAGTAGAATAAAAAAATCCCTAGGCTAGGAAAAGACCCTGTGGTTCAACTTGCATATTAAGGTATATGATTTTTGGTGCCTACAGCGCACACATCTGAGTGTGTGTGACTGAAGTGCCCAAATTACTATTACAATGACCAAATGGAGTCAAGCCAATGCAGTCTACAGTGCTATCCATCACATCTCAGAATAGCCATCAACATTTGGTTGGTTAACTGACTACATTAACTAGATCTCCATTGAATAAAGAGTCTGGACATCTAATTCAATTGTAGATATCTACAAGAGGACATCAACATTTAGGTGTCTTAATCCATGAGGTTTAAATCCTATCCCAAAATTCACTGAGAAACTAGGTTCACATGGTATCTTTATATCTTTTACCAAGATCATTTTAAATTGGGCTGGTGACTTTTTATAACTTTTTATGAAAGATACTCCAAAATCTCACTTCTCAGATGATCAGAAATAAAAAGTAAAAAGTCTGTAGCTATCCTGAATATATTCATGAAATGATGTTTTCTCCATTCTTGTGGCAAGAATGACTTTAGCTTAAAAAGCTGTTCTTTTTCTGTATAAGTGACCCTTCTGATATGTATTTAGACCACAAATGTATTTTCTATTTTCATGTGTTTTACTATGCTAATGAAAACATGTTCTTTGAATCTTTATTATAAGACAGTCTCTCCATTCCCCAACCATTTTTGATTTTTTATGTACATCTTCCATTTGAATCATTCTTTCTTGAGTACAGATACAAGAAATATTCAAAGAAGGCCTTGCCTGTACTTTCCTGTTAGTTTAGAATAACCTAATGCACTAGACCTTTGTTATATTTACATCATGTAAGCATGTTAGTTTAATCATCCTGCAATGAACTATTACACCCAAATCCTTTTTCCTCCACTGTTATTTCTAAATGAAGACTTGCATCTTACAACAAGAGCTCCTTCTATTAGAACAAGTGCATGAGCTTACACTTCATATGTTACACTTTATCCACCTTTAGTTATGTCACATATAAAGATCTCTAGTCTTCTCCAGTTATCCCGACCCTCTTTCATTTTGATTACACCTCTCAACTGTGTTATCAGCAAACCTCTTTAACACATTCACACTTTTTGTGCCCATGTCATTGAGGAAAATATTTATACAAAAACTGCTCTAAGTGTGGTCCTTAAATAACCTTCCTACTAGCACAGCCCCATTCAACAGGAGTAGTCAAGTTAGCCCTCCAGCTAGGTGTTATCTACCATATAAATCTTGTTCTCACCCCCAGCTTCTTCAGTTCCTCTTTTAGTTTCTCAGGCAGTACTATATCAGATGCTATGCTGGAATTCAGTCAGATTAAATTTTCTTTCTTTTCATTGCTTAGAAAAAAAACAGTCAAATTAATCTTACACAATACTTTCCATAAATTAATGTAAATTGTCTCCCATTTTCTTATCTCTGTGTTTTAATTAGTGTTTCCTTAAAAAATATATTCTTCATTTACATAATCATAAAGTTAGACAAGCCTTTGTAAAAAACTTAGGTCTAGAACCTTTCTCTTACAGATTTTTCCTCCTTTCTTAGCACAAATCAGAGATAAAATTTCTTTAATCAGAAACACAAGTATATAGTAAATTCCAGATTGCATTACCTCAATGCAAAGACAAGGCAGTAGCTGAGAATATTTCAGAGAAACTGATTTTAGTGATTCCTTCCCTTTTATCTGAAATTAAAAAGACAGCCATGAAGCCAGGACAGTAAATTAGTTTTAATAAAGCTAAATAAAGCTACAGAAAGCCATTTCCTATGACTATGACCTCAATGAGCATTTCCACATATCACCTCACACCAGTTCAACAAACTGCTTTGAGGTTTAACTCACCATAGCAAATGATCCTACATCTTCACATGTAAACCATTTGTGGCACAGGCGAATGTAATAATCTTGATCTCGAAGAAAGTTGGATACATTCACTGAAATAATTTTCCTTGCTCTGTCCACATTATAATCAAACTTTCCAGCTGAAAAAGAAAATTCAAGCATGAAATTCACATCTGTTTCTTTTTTACTTTATTATTTGTATTTTGTTATTTCCTTAGAAAAGGTACAGAATGAATTTTATAACTTTATATTCTGATATTCCTAAATATATTATTATTTTTTGAAATACAATAATTTTCATGGAATAAATTTCAATATTATTCTGTTTAGAATTAGCATTGGCAATACTGAGAGGCCAGGACACTTACTGATTGTACCTCAACCTTAGTACTTGAAATATCATGTAGTTAATGTACAAATACCTGAAATATATACACTACAACTACTACAAAAGCTGATTATACCAAGGTTTCAATTTCAGCTCTCTGGATGGCAGCACACAAAGAGTTGTGGTCAATGGCTCAATCTCCGGCTGGAGACCAGTAACGAGTGGTGTCCCTCAGGGATCGGTGTTGGGACCGATCTTGTTCAACATCTTTGTCGCTGCCATGGACAGTGGGACTGAGTGCGCCCTCAGCAAGTTTGCCAATGACACCAAGCTGTGTGGTTTGATTGATACGCTGGAGGGAAGGAATGCCATCCAGAGGGACCTTGACACGCTTGTGAGGTGGGCTGATGCCAACCTCATGAGGTTTAACCATAACAAGTGCAAGGTCCTACACCTGGGTCAGAGCAATCCCAGGCACAGCTACAGGCTGGGCAGGGAACAGATTCAAAGCAGCCCTGCGGAGAAGGACTTGGGGGTGTTGGTTGATGAGAAACTGAACATGAGCCAGCTTCAGCGTGCGCTTGCAGCCCAGAAAGCCAACCGTATCCTGGGCTGCATCAAAAGGAGCGTGACCAGCAGGTCGAAGGAGGTGATCCTGCCCCTCTGCTCTTGTGAGACCTCACCTGGAGTATTGTGTGCAGTTCTGGTGTCCTCAACATAAAAAGGACATTGAACTGTTGGAACAAGTCCAGAGAAGGGCCACGAGAATGATCAGGGGACTGGAGCACCTCCTGTATGAAGACAGGCTGAGGAAGTTGGGGCTGTTCAGCCTAGAGAAGAGAAGGCTGTGTGGAGACCTCATAGCAGCCTTCCAGTATCTGAAGGGGGCCTATAGGGATGCTGGGGAGGGACTCTTCATTAGGGACTGTAGTGATAGGACAAGGGGTAACGGGCTCAAACTTAAACAGGGGAAGTTTAGGTTGGATATAAGAAGGAAATTCCTTCCTGTTAGGGTGGTGAGGCACTGGAATGGGTTGCCCAGGAAGGTTGTGAATGCTCCACCCCGGCAGTGTTCAAGGCCAGGTTGGACGACGCCTTGGGTGATATGATTTAGTGTAATGTGTCCCTGCCCACGGCAGGGGTGTTGGAACTAGATGATCTTAAGGTCCTTTCCAACCCTAATGATTCTATGATTCTATGATTCTATGATTCATTACATAGAAAATATCATGGAATCATAGAATGGTTTGGATTGGAAGGTATCTTCAAAGCTCATCTAGTCCAACCCCCCTGCAATGAGCAAGGACATCTTCAACTAGATCAGGTTGCCCAGAAACACAGCCAGCCTGGCCTTGAATGTCCCCAGGGATGGTACATCCACCACTGCTACGTGCAGCTATGTCAGACAAATACAGTGGTGGGGATGGTGGTTTTTTTTTATTCATGGGTGTGCCAAAATCAGGATAGCAGTTTGGCAAATTAATTTAAATTTATTTATGAGATCTGTCCACAGACAAAATATAAAACCAGCAATCTGAAAAGAATTAAAAGGACACAAACTGATTTCCAAAATTTTAAGTATTAAATAGGTTGTCAGTATCTTTATCTGCTATCTAGAATTTCCAAGTCAATATAAAGAAATACACCTTCCAGGACATTACCTATCAACTACATGGTAATTATAAGTAATGGTAGTTGTAAATCACTGTTTTTTTTCCCCTGCTTATTCAGCTATGAAAACATTTCTCTGTATATGTCACCAGAAATATCTCACAGCTTTAAATCTTATAAAAGATCAACTCACCTGAACAAGCTGGAATATATTTTCCCACATCACTGTTTCTGCAATCTGCAAAATAGAAGCTAGAGTTTTCTTCAGTGCTGCTTTATTTATATAACTGTGTAAACAAACTGCCAAATTATCCAAAAGCTTCCCAACCAGAAACTTCTCTCTTATGCCTGTTTTTAAAAGCAGATTTGCATCCACTTCTAGATAAACACCAAAAAAGAAAAGTACCCTTGCCACACACAGAGATTATATCACAACTTGCTTTAAGCAACTGTCTCACTGGTGGGGGATGTCTACTGGAAAACCTCAGCAGCAGTTTACGGTGGCAGTCTAGATTATAACACTGCACTTCTTTACCTAGTACCTAACAGTAATTTAATTAACAATAATAATTGTTGCTGTTGTTACTATTATTATTTCAGTTATCCTTCCCTTGAAAGCTACTCCTGTTGTTTACCAAGCACGTTCCTCTATTATAAACAACTTTGTATTTTTGCTATTCTGACTGTACTCTAGGCTCAGAAAGAAACACCTTATTTAGCTCCCAGGAAAAATTACAGCACAGGCAATACTTTCAGAACTAATACCTAATATTTGTATCTCCAAAACTTAAATTGTGATTTAAGAACACTCTATCAGCTCGTAATATGCCTACTGTTTTCACCTCTCCTTGCCTAACTCAGGGCAGCACTTTGCTGTCATTTCCCACACAACTCTTTTCCCTGGGAAATATTTCCTATTTTCGTTTGTTTACTCACCCTTACTGTCTGAAGAGTGTCTTAAAACTCATCTTTATAAAACCGTATTTCCTCCCCCTCTTTATTCACAAAGTACATATCTACTTCAACAGTGAAACGGGATTTACCAAGAAAATGAAAGGCTTTTTAGATGCAAAAAGGCTTTACTCCAAGGAAAGCGTGAAAGTGCTAAAATGTGCCTGATGCTGTGTGGAAGGGATGACACTCTACCAACGGGAAAGGGCAAGAGATACCCATCCACGGGCCCTGCGGATGGGAAGGCAGGACAGTCCCAGGCACTGGATCAAACATGGGGTCTCATTTCACTTTTTGCACCACCATTTAGTCTCCACTAGCCACACTGCGTCTTGGTTAGACCACAGCACTGAAACTATTTCTATATGCATATGGTAGGCGCTTTACCCTAAAACCATGGAAAAGTGATACCTATCCTTATCTAGTTACATGAAATCAAGAGACAGAACAGCTAGCTAATGGAAGTAAAAGAAATTTCTTTGCATTTTCTTATTGAGTTTTCTTCAGCCTCTGAAACCACCTGTGGCCTAACTATGAAGAGAGGCAGAGGCTCAACATTCTGCACAGAGAGCACAGAGAATTGAACCTGCAGGGAGAGAAAGAGCCCATGCCAGTTACAAGGCCAATTAGGATGAACACATAGTGTAGTTCAGTTTCCCATATACTGTTAGATATAAACTCTGGTCTCTCTTTTTTATAGCAAGTCAGACATTCATATGCATAAAATAAATCATCAAAATGCGGAATAAGACTGGTCTTTGCATACATGAACGACCATCAATTAGATCAGTGTATCCCAGAATGTGATTTGGCTTTGCATTTGGGCTTTTTTTGGGGTTCTGTTGAGTTTTTTATTTGAGAAGATGTTTCTTGAAAAACATCTGGTTTAAGATGTTTTCCTACCTTCAACATAGTATTCCTGACTCAGCTTGACTTCACAGTAATTTGGTACTGTTTTCATGGTCACATAGATGTGTTGTGCTACATTGACTTCAATGCAATTGAATTGTATCTGTACCTGTTTAAAACATTTACAAAATCAAGTTTGTGTGTGACTTCCAGAATACATGAAAACCACTGGTCATTAGAGCTAAGCAAGTAATATTCTTTGATCATATTTATTTATATTTACAAGGAGCAACAAGCAGTCTCAGATATTTTAGCAGTAAGAGTGTAAAATAATCAAGATTTCAAAGGGTATCATTATTTCTAATTCAGGATGTTGCTGTCTTCATCACTTCCACAAATCCGAATATCTACAAGCCATCAATTAATCCTAAAAGCATACAGGTATCCAAGGCTTGTTGGACTTCAAAAGCAAAAACTTCTTTCACACTGCCAAAAGTCCCAATTTGTAGGCATTTTACAAGCACAAACACTTGCAAGATAGGGGAAAAAAAGTCTGTTTAAAGATTTAATGGCAACATCAGCAAATGTGTTCACTCCAGTAACAGTTTGTGAAAGAGAAAATAATTTAGGTAACAAAAGTTGAGGTCCAGTTACAGCACGTCATTCTGACAGCAGTAACTATTAAATTTTATGTAGGTTTTCATGTTGTGTATATTCTTATTTGGTACAAGGCATTTGGAGGGGAAAAGGCATCTTACATCACCATTCTAGTCACTGAGCTAAAACTAAGAAAATTTAATTAAATGTGTTTGTTGATTCTTGCCTATAAACTTAGCTTACTTTGAAAGCTACCAGTTGTTCAATGCTGGCCCTACATTGCCTGTAAGACCGTTTGATCATCAAGTGGTACAGAGCATAAACTGCAATTGCAGTTTGGAACAAGAACTTTATTTCACATGTGCAATCAGTGTAACATTTACAAAGCACATGAAGTAACACATTTTAATAACAGTTACCCACCAGTAACTGTCTTTTAAACAGTTGGTCAAGGATGGTTCTTATGTTTTATCCCCAATTGTAAATTTTAATAACAAATACGTCTGGGTTTAATAAAGTAAAAAATTGTACTCTGTTGTTGCATTTATTACCATGAGTTTAGGACACAATGGCTGTCTTCTAGATGTGTAAATTCCACTTAGATGGTTGGACTCACATAAATCATATGTATGCATTTAAAATCCCTGTGGAATTGTGCTTCCTATCATTTGGAGTTACAAAAGTTTTCCCACAATTTGGTGGGTGCAAAAGGAAAGCTAGCAAGGTTGTTGTGAAAATTAGGCTTTGCAGAGGAAGCTTCTCTTGCAAAAAAGGTAAGTGGAGGAAGTACAAAAATGGTGGAGAATTCAACTTATAGGTTGTAAAAGAACATTTTGTTAGTTTCATCTAACAATGCTGAAGCATACATTTCATTGCAGTTTTCCACAAAATTAATAAAAACAGAAAATAGGAGACATAAATCCTTATTTTCCCAAAGTCTCATAAACATTTAAAAGAATATCAACCCAAAATAAAGAAGTCTACCTTTTTTCCATTAAGCATCTTGCTTTTTTTCCTAGCAAACCTCACATTTATGCACTGAGATTGCTGTGTGTCCAGTGAAAGAGAACAGATTTCCAGCCCACGGATATTCTCTGAAATGAGTTAGGAATAGATTTCAAAACCATAATTTGAGCATCTTTAAGAAAAGGAAAAAATAAATTAAAATATATCATATTGTAAGCTTTCCTTCTGAGTGAAAAGCACATGTATTTTATCTTGTTAAAAAAAGGGACATTATATATAACACACAAATGGGAGTAGGAGCAAGGATTTAATACAGATTGCTACAAATTAAAACTTTAACTATGCAAAATCTCATGCAAATTAAAAAAAAAAACAACACAACAACAAAACAAAACCAAACCTATTAACTCTGAGTGAAGCACACCAGGAAATATCTAAATAGCAACACACTAAGCGCACGAATGGTGAGGTGTTAGTAAAAATAGACTATGCCCCAAAAGTCTGAGTGCTTTCATTTTATTTTAGAGCAGAATTGTAACTTCAGACACATAATCTGTTTTTTCCTTCTATTGGGGCAGTCACTCACATCTGGGTTAGCAGGGCAGAGAGAATTAGCGTGTGTGTGCATGCATGCATGTCAGAACAAGAAAGAAAAGGGCAGGAGTATGCCTGGGGCACTGGTAGAGGATAAGTGTATTATGTTGGAAGGAAAAATTCAGTTGTCTTTAATTCACTATCTCAGTTCTCACTCCCTTGAGAAGGGCCACAGCTTTATCCTGTTTTGTAGTAACATGGTTTCACAAAAAAAAATATCTTTCTAATTACATGAAAACAGCTTGGACACAAATATTGCAATATGGAACAAAATTTGGCTGAAAATCTACAAACAAAAAGTAAACAGAAATATTCAGTAGCAAATGTGCTTCCTACCATCCAGACTCAGTATTCCTTTAATGTTTAAATGAAGAGAGCATGGGCTTCCTTGGGCACATTTCATCACTGTTGAGATCTTCATGCTTTTCAGTACCATGGAAGATAAGGATGCAGGAGCATCATGGCAGAAGCTGTTAAAAATACCACCTGCAAATTCAAAGAAAGAGAAATCTCATTGTGCACAGGATACCTGAGTCAGAGAAAGCACCAAAGATAAAGCTCCAGTTCTACTGAAATCAATAAGAAAGTCACCACTGACTTCAGCAAAGCCAGTAATTTACTTAACACTTTCACATGGACAATATAGCTAGTTGGCTTCACTACCAATGCAGGGGGGATTTGGAAAAAACTAAATTGCACATGGGGTTTGATAATACATTTCCTGGCTTAGGGAAGTGTTAACCCATAAGAGAAAGGAATCACATTTCTAATAATTAAAGCTAGAAGAGCACACCTATACTAAAAGTGATTTTAAATAATCATATCTGCTAGATCATGGCTAGGCTAATAATCCATTTAAACTTTTTTCAAAACCATTACCTGTATCTTATTAGCACTCTCATAGATAGCATTTTAATTTTAGATTTAGTTAATGCTAAATTAAATGCTAAATGTTAAAATATCCCTTTCACACAAGAGGGCACCATTGTATTCCTAGTCCTGGAAAAGTCCCTCACACCTACAAGATTTCCTTCCGCTTTAGGCCGGAACAGCAAGAGCAGGATAAATATTATCCAGGCTTTCTTCAAGGTGCAAACAGTAGGCACAGAATGTAACTACTATGTCTCATTTTATTTTCCTATGGAAATCCCCCCCAAAGAGGCCCCAGATCTCATCAGTGAATGATACTTTATCTGCTTTTATTTCTCAGACTGCCCTGCACAGAAATCAAGTATTTATGTATGAATTTATGTTGGTTCAGTGGATTTACAGAATCATAAAATCAAATAGGTTGGAAAAGACCTTTAAGATCATAAAGTCCAACCTTTAAATTTAATCCCAAATGCATTCCTTGGCAGTCTCTATATCACATACACTGCTTTTAGTCTCAAAAATTAAGAGATTCAAGAAACTATCAGAACAAATAGCCAGGGAATTAGGGTTTGCCCCTGGGCTTTGTGGTATACAATACAGCACACCTCAGTGTAGCTGCAATTACTTCATAGCAATTTCTTTGAAGCATTTCTTACCCTTCCACTTTGGTACATAGCATGGAAGTTAAAAGTCAACCAAGTAAAACAAAGTATTTTACTGCATATTCTCCTCTCCCCATGAGAGGAGAGAACAAAAAAAACACTCGACTCTTGTTATTTACACTGCTTAACATACTCCTAGGAGGAGTTCAACTAGTATGGTGAAGAGCGTAGGATGAAACAGCAGTGCCACAACACTATGCTCACCATAAAAGACAGGATAACACTCTTAAATTGTCAGGAAAGGGTGCATCCCTCAATGCCTACCCAAGAATTGTCAAGCATGGATGCCTGTTGACTCACATAGAAGACATATCCACAGTTCTCACAGAGAAAAGGTAGGGTGTGGAGGAGGACGAACAAAGCTTATCCATACTTACCCCTTCAACCACTCCAGTGAAGGAAAGTGCTCTAAATTTAAAGGTCAAGGATCAGATACTGATACATGGAGGATGTGAAGACAGGCTGACATAAGGCTTGAACATGTCGGGCCTTAAGATGCCCTCACACTTGGTATCAGGAGAAATAAATCCTTCATGATACACATCAAATGTCATAAAAAACAAACACTTCACACCTGAATCTCCACTCCATCATCTTGGTTTTGAGCCATTAAGCATCTTTTGGAGGCAACAGGATTACTGATATGAGCCAAGTGGAAAAGAATGGAAAAACAATGACACTTTACCTCAACTGACAGTAGAGTCAACTCTTGATTATCCAAGGTAATCTTGGCAACAAGAGAAGACAATTTGTGCAAACCAAAGAAAAAGCACAGATCATTCAAAACATACAAATTAGGCTTTAAGAGCAGAGGAGTACATAGACTTTTGAAGAATCTGTAAACCTGCTTCCACAGAGATGAGACAGGCTTATAGTACAGTGCACAGCTGCCAGATGTGAGCACTGTATTCCATGTGTCAAGAATGGGTGGTGTAATAATCCTGAAGGTATCAGGATGAAGAGCTGCTGTACATCACCCAATCAATCCACCCACAGTTAACTGGGAGGCTATTATACTGCAGAACTACCTGATAATTATTATTAATAATGTGATAAGTGATAATTAGTTTTAGCTCTGTCTCTTTCCTCAGAAAGATCCTTTCCTGACTGCATTGCATGACATGCAGTTGAGATTACCAAATGGTATTTAGGAGCAATTGTTTCTGCTCAATTCTTTGACTGTTGGTGTAAATTTCTCAATCCAGGACTATAAACTAGCCAATACCCATGTCTGTGTAGAAACAATTTAATGGAAGAGCAATGTGTATCTATATACAGTGTCACAGCTGACAGTTCTTTACAAATTATTCTGTCTGAGTGAATCTGACTATATTATTTGACCCTACTAATTTTTAGGAGAGACTATCATGACTTAATTGAATTTGGTCCTTAGTTATTACTGTCTGAGGTAAAGTATTACCAGATGTCTCAGTCTTGGAACTACCTCAGAAGAATTCTAAATCATGACTAGGTGCATTACTGACATTAGATTAGCATCAGGCAGATGCCAAAACACAGTTTTGGGGACTATCCGTAAGCAGGGACACTGTCCTTCTTCACAGTTTCTGCCTTCAAAGTCAGAACAAATAAGCAATACACTGGATAAAATAAAATGATTCTTCCACTTTGGATTTTTTCCATTATGATCCATTTTGAGAGTTGCAAAAGTTGCTGCAAAACTCATTATTAATAACTTAAATGGATCATATCATGCATGAGGATATTAGTTTTGGATCAAAAAGAATATATGATACAAGGAAAAGCTGTCAGAAAATAATTTTAGTTCTATAAATCATCGCAGTATGACACTCATTTCTGACTAATTCTTCAGTAAACTCTTACCTTATCATCATTTAATCCCCCCGCCTTAGTTTCCTCTGGAACATACACCTCTTTCCTTTTCTCACGAGTAGCTTGATCTACACCCCAGAAGACATAAAGATACATCTTGCTACACAAACCATCTGCTGGATAAATCTTGCCTAAACTTTATCTTTATGAATTATAACTGTAATTAGCCCTACATGAGAGAGGGATTGTTGCTGTAATAAAAGATTCCTTAATTATGGACACATATAAGCCCAGGCATAAAGAAGCCAAGGCTTATCATTCAGCATGTAGACACTTTCCTTGTACTTTCGCCATCAGCTCAACCACAGCAGATTATTTTTTTATCTGATGATGCAGCAATCTACCCAGAACTGTCACGACAGCAAAACACACCTTATGTATACTTGGATAATAGAAGCCAGAGCTGAGCAATGAATACGTAACAGAAATTACTAGATGGATAATTTGAAGCCTCAGGCAAGAATATGAAATTGGAGAACAGCAAAAAAAATTGCAGAGGAAACACATTAACAAGTCCAGGCCAACACCCAATAGAAAATCCTAACTGTTTTTTGTTCTGTATTTCTCCCCTACAGGAATTATAAGAATCTGAACTACTTAGGATGCTGACAGTGCTAAAACTGTGAACATATCTAAAGGACACTAAAACTGCTTCAATGGAGCATCATTCCATGAGTATAAAATATAGTAGCATTTCTAACCTATCTGCATATGATTTACTACAGTATCTGATGCATCTGTGTGTTAGGATGGTTCAACAAAACCATAAACAAACTAGATATCCTCTTCTAAAGATAACCACATGGTGCACTTCAGTTAATAAATACCAAAATTGACTACTTAAAAGTACTTACACCAATTACGAAATTGATTAGATCTCAGACTGACAGCCTCTCTTTCCCAATAGATTTCAACGCACAGTAAATTAGAAGAGTTTCACAGGTGTACGTTCAGAAACATTTCAAATTTTCAAGGATATTGGGCAGCACAGTGACAAGCCGTGCCAAATGTAAGGCTTTTTAAAAATCATAGACATACTGATATCAATGTCTGGATATATTGCAGTGAATTTCAAATACTACAGTAGCCCTTAGGGACTACTAATAGTGTAGAAGAGCAGGCGGGAGAAGGCAGAGTGAAAGCTACTGCCAAATACCACTCATCTCATAGCTGTGAATTCAAGGAAATAATCTTTTTGTGGCAGCTAAAAGCAGCGACTACTGAAAAGGTGTTCTATTATACAGTTAAGGTCTTTTAAGGTAATTTTATCTCAGTAAATAATAAAAAGAATTACCATGGAAAAGGAAATATAGAAATGAGTATACACCCATTGTTGCACAAGTGAGTTAGGATGAAGACTAGAAAAATGTCTTTTCATCACCCCCATAAGGCTGAGTCATCTGGCGTGTTACTTGTATTAAAGATAGCTGATAAGTCATCTTCAGGCAGCACTGAAAACCTACAACCAGGTCTGCTTCATGTACATCATCTTGAAAGATAAGATCTTTAGCTTACAAACTCTTCTGTGCCCAAAGTGTATATCCAGCTAAGAGCTAAACATCTATTTTAAGCTTATGTGCATCATATGCGTTACCCTGCACCTGTGTGACCCTGAGCAGGGGTTTTGGAGCAGATGACCTCCAGAGGTCTCTTCCAGCCTCAACCAGCCTGTGATCTAAGCATCTCTGGCAGTCAACAGAGGGAGAACCCCTTTCACCTCCCTCCCAGCCCATAAAGACCCTGTCCTAAGATGGGTGAATCACCACCTCGTGGTACATGTAATGAGTTTTCACTATCTAGATCTAAATTTGTGTAACACTCAGCACAGATTTTAACTCATAACCAACAATATTGCAGGTGTCCTTCCCTTTGAGATCAAGGTTGAAGGGTTTGGATTCCTCAGCCTGTGCCGCCCAAGGGCATGAAGGCATGCTTCAGTGAGGCAGAGCAAAGGTCAGTGTCCCTGTTTCTTCTCCAGCCTTCCATGTAGTTTGTGTAACTAGGAGCTCAGCTGCCTAATCCTAAAGAGATTCATTCTCTTTAGGAACCAGCCACCAACGGTTCACTCTGCTCACCAGCAGAAGACTACAGACTTTTTCAGGTGGGACTTTTAACTACACCCTTCCACAGCCATGTCCTTTCTCCCCACTTCAACACGTGTCCCATAAATGCCATGCTTTCAGAGTAAGACTCCCGGCACTGATATCCAACTCACACCTCATGCCATAGCATCAGCATTTCACATACTTGCAGCTTCGCACTGCAGCTTCTCCCTGCCTGTGGACTCTGCCAAATGCATCCAGGAATGGCACCATGGAGACAAGCAGAGCTCAGAGTTGGGCCTCCAGCTAGGAGGGAACAGTCTACAGGGTACCTGCCTCATACTTCCCTGTCAAGTGACCATGTGCACTAGGGGAGTGATTCATGGATGCTCAGGTTCAGGTAATTCAAGAGCTGTATTATTACTGTAGGTAATAATGATAAGTAGAAGCAATAAAAACATATGAAATGACTAAGCAAATTCTCCCAATGACCATCTATGGTAAGGAAAATTATAAAGCAACAATGCACAGTCATTATTAACCTATTATTTATGGGAGCCTACCAATTTGCAGTGTTTCGTAGAAAGAAACTGGTGGCAAACATCTTGGCAGGACAGGGATTGGATGTCACCAAGTGGATTTATTAGCTGCAATAAATTTTCTTTATCTTACAAAACCAAATGTAGTAAAAATGTGAATGAGGTATACTCACTGGAAGGCTTGCTTTTACAATGAATCCCCTGCAAACAGAAACAAAAAATATTATAAAAGCTGAGGTGACAATAAAAATAAATATTGCTTAATCTTTGTACACAAATACAAACATACCTTAAACAAGTAAACATACAGTCCACAACAGAAATAATTTTTGAGATTAAACAAAGATTTTCAAATACACTGAAAATGGACATCACTACTCCGTATGACAACCTGATATATGTGGGGACACAAGATCAGTAATATCCTTATTTTCAAGTATTTCTACTGAGGTGCAATTGTTCTAACAAGTTTAAGTGTTCAATCAAATACAGATGTCATTTCATCAGGTACTGCTATTCACAGTGACCAATAGCTTATTCTTTACAATGGACTGCTTCTTACCAGGGCAAAGAAACCAAGTGACTTTTTAATGGAAGATATCTAGAACACTAATGACTATTATATGATTTTTTTAGAGGATCACACTAGGCCAGTGGAAGGAAGTGTTACAGTAATTGCAAATGAAGTTTAGAAATAAGACTTTCATTTTTATTTCTTAGAACTATCTGGCTTGGAATCCTGAAAATAAAATTAGGCACAGCACTTAGGGTGCTCAGGTGGGAAAGTGTTTTTGTAAGAGGCAAAGTGAATGTGACAGTGAGATTTTAGTGAGTTTCCAACTATCTTTCAGACAGATTACATTCATTTTCCCAGTAAAAAAAAGTACTTAACCACACACTAAAATTCCGTAGAGTATAAAAATAACAAATCTTATTTTGACTATTATGCATGGTATACTAAAGAAAGGCTATTACTTAGCCAGCAAATACTGTTTTATGTTGTTCTGGCACTCAAGTTTTTGACATAGCACTTTTATACCAGTAGTACTTTGTACAGGGCAAAGCTTTCTGCTTCCCTCTAAAATCAGTGTCTCATTCACAGAGACACTTTTGTCACACCCACAAAAGGAGCAGGCATCACCTTGTCTCCTCTGCTCTCAAAGGGACTGGCAGCTCTCGGCCTTTTTAAAACATACTAAGTCAATAAAACAACAACCTCTGAGGTTTAGAGCCAGCGAGTCTCCCAGGCCTGAAGTTCCCATGTTGCAGACAAACAGACTGCAACCCACGTAAGCGTTAGCACACCATAAAATAACTATTGTTTGGTCATCCGTGAGGCATTCTCATCCACAGGTAATTCTGTCCTCCTCATAAACACAGCTGTAGAGCAAAATCATATTATTGTTCAGGTGAGAAATGACAGCATGTTAGCTACGCTGTGGCAGCTGCCTAGAGTACCCAAGAAGTGTTTTCTGTCCTTCATTGCTGCTTTTAAGTTCTTAGCTAGGTAATTTTGTTTTTAAAGGAGGCCTTTAGAAAACCAGTCAACAGGATCTAAACTGTATCAGTTCTCATTCCTCTGTCCTTTTGGCACTTTTATTTTTAAAAATAACTTCTGGAGGTAAGTTGTCACCTTTTACAACTGGCAGTTTGTCACTATGACTCATAAAAGTGCAGATGCATTAAAGGTAGCATTTTAAACCACTCATTATAAAAAGACAAAGATGGTCCTATATTTTCAGACTGGAGATTATAAAAATTACTTGTGACATTGTTAAAGGTATTACTTTGGCTGCTTCTACACGATACTACATCAACACTCAAAAAAGTGTGGCCTGTTGTGATAGGACAAGGGGTAATGGTTTTAAACTAAAAGAGGGGAAATTTAGACATAAGGAAGAAATTTTTACAGGGATGGTTGTGAAGCACTGGCACAGGTTGCTCAGAGAGGTGGTAGATTCCCCACCCCTGGAAACATTCAAGGTCAGGCTGGAGGCAACTCTGAGTAATTTGGTCTAGTTGAAGGTGCTGCTGCTCATTGCGGGGGGGTTGGAGTAGAAGGTCCCTTTTAACCCAAATTATTCTATGATTCTATCACGGAAATCAAACTTCTTTGCACAACTCTTCTAAAACTGGGGTACTTCTATTTCAGTGGTTTCATAAATTCCTCGAATTCCCCTGAAGGACTGAAAAATGTAACTGATGCAACCTCATTTTTGCTCTAATATGTTCATAGAAATATTTGTCATATATTAATTCTGCCCCCCACAAAAGAACTTCATTGGTAGTTTGCTGATTCTCCTAATGCACAATGATCAACAGAAAGAAGACCACAGCTTCCTGAATAATTCAGTGCAACACTAAACCAATAAAAAAGGAACATGCCAGCTCATATAAAACTACTGGAATTTTAACTGCTGTTTCAAAGCCCTAATTTTGAATTCATTCTAATAGAACCCTGCAGGAGTATGCAGAAGGACAATCTGAATTCAGCCTCTTAACTTGAGGTTCTCCATGGCCTTAGGGTGTGGAACAGACAAATATACAAAATGACTGCAAAAATTCAACTGAGTGGGCTAAGGAGCTAATTTTCTTACTGAGAAAACCTAACTGTTGGATCAGCTCATTGCTGAGCCACTGCTTACTGGAAGAAATTAATCTTTCATGAGGTTGATAATTTAGCAAATTACTTCTGTATTTTTAACTTCCCATTTGGCAGCTAAACTACTGAAAATATTTTGGTTAGGTGGCTTGAGAGAGTTCCCAATTGCCAGTTAAAATTTCTTTGAACATCATCTTTAAATTAAGTTTTCCAACCGTTCTGTCTGGTTACAATCAGGGTGCAAAAATACATTAGAAAAAATAAAGATCTCACTGAAATAAACAAAAATCTCACAAAACTCAGAGGATTCAGCCTTTTATTTAAGGGCCGGTGCTTTGATGCCCCTGTTATGACACTTGAAGAATGCAAATTACATGTAAATAAATTGTCTTAAGTTACAAACATGGAAAAAAAAGACAATCACCCAGTTCCATGAGGCTGTTGGATGATGCAGAAATCCACCTGTACCTTCTGGTCTATCTTAATTAATTACTGGTTTATACTATTGCTCAGATGAATGCTACCATCTGAGCACTTCCCAGTACCATCTTGCATTTATTTTCTCATCTTCTCCATGGGAAAAAAAGAAACATATCCGTAAGTGATTTCTGTTCTGGTAGGGAGATGTTTTGTCCTTCCTAAGCACTTGGTTTTGTTCTGGGTGAGGCGTTGTGGGGAAGGTTTACATAAAGAATCAAACATTTGCACAAACACTTGCCAGTTACAGAGAGCATTTTGTCACAGCTAAATTCCTCCTTTTTTAACAAGTGTTTCTTTTTATTGTACAATACCAAGGGGGAGGGGTGGAGGCAGTATATTCTTTTATAATCCTTTTGCAAAATAGCCAAAAGAGACCATTTGTCTCAAAGAAGAGCTCAAATAAATTAATCAAGTTCCTCTCCCACTTTCCATATCTTTTGTTTTCAGGAATTTTCAGTGATGAATGCAATATAAAAACATAACACACTAAAACCAGAATGGAAATTTTCTTCCTCTTTCACAAATGCCATGGGTGTCTTTTATGCAAAAAATAAGATCCTGATCATGATAGCACATTTTACTCCTATACAGAGAGCATCTTTGATTCCTATCCGCTTTGGCAAAGAGCCTAAGCAAAATATACTTACACAATGCACAAACAGTTAGGGATTTTCCTATTTCTCTAGGGTTTTCCCCATTTGTGGTATTACTCAACTGTAGCTAGAGGTTATCTGAACAGACACCACCAACGTGCAGCACTCTGAATAGGAGGTGTGGTGCCAACTTTTTAGCTAGCACAGCAATTTCTCAGTCTAAGCCAACTGTAATATCAAATTCTTTTGTTTAAAGACTGTAGAGAAGAAAGTGAGATCAGCAGAGAAAGACTTGGATTTGGGGGCACAGAGAGCATTTCCATAAATTAAAATTGCCATGGATAAGAAACAAAGATTAAACCTGTTGCCCATTTCCTCTCATGTCTCCAGGCAATGAATCAAGTGCAGAATTGTGGAAATTCTTCCCTGAATGTTCTGTCATGTAGGAAAGAATCTGAGGCAAATTCAGTTTCACAGTTCACCTGTTAGCACTGTTGTACCTTGTCCATAGAAGAGTTGGTGGCAGCTCTTCCATAACTCCACAAGGAATAGTACTATTCCTGAATATGCCTTAAAATTTGTTCTTTAATTGAGACAAGGTTGTTAGACACTTAACAATTATCTGTTAAGGTGTCTACATTAAAGCCAGTGTACGTAGAGTTGCCCTGGGTTCAGCAGTAGCTACTACTGCTACTGCTGAACCCAGGACAAGAGTGAAGAGTTCTTCCTCCTTTGAGAGATACTCAGTGGCAAAGCTATTATCTGCATTTCTACTTAGTTTCAAATAACAGAGAGGGCAGAGAAAAAGGAACACACCATATTCTGACGTTTCCTTCTATTCCAGCAATTTCTGGTTTTGGCCACCATTAACAGTAAGCATGGGACTGTGCGTGTTATTACAACACAGGGAAAGTGTAGCCTTGCAACAACTGATGCTCAAATTGTAGCCAAAAGGCTGATAAAGATGATTAATTTAATCATGTTCTTTTTTCTTTCCAGTCCAGAGGGGATGTTCTGCACAGATCCATCTTGTTCAGCACAGAATTAGAAAGGATGTCCCAGATCACTGGGTCTAGTCCCCTAATAACAACATCATCCAATCCCCTTCAAAAAGTGGTGAAGCTTCATTTTAAAACCAGTCAGCCATTTGTGTGCACTACTCCAATAGCCAATGCTATTTCAGAATCCCTGCTCTCTGCCATCACCAAATCTTAATTTCTAATGTAAACACAATAATGGTTAGCTTGTACTGACTTCTCATTGTGCCCATTATCTTTTCACTTAAATAGATGATTTCCACCCTGGAATTTTCTTTCCATTTATCTTCAAACCTTTTCTCATCTTTTTCTCTGTGACTACAAAAGCCAAGCTCATTATTCCTCTCTAATAAAACCGGCTTTCCTTCTTACCATCACCTTTCTCAGCAGCTTTTTCTACTTTTACGCATTTGTCCAAATGGAGTGACCAGAACCACACACAGTTCCAAAGCCAGTTTCCCACTAGGGTTTATTTGATATGTCAGAAAG